AAAATTCATTTTAAAAGTTAATCCATGTTTGGGAAGTAGAAACCCTGCTTCCTAGTCCCGAAAAATACAAAAAAATGACTAACGTTCGCCAACCGTTACGCCAGATCCATAAGCGTAGAGTAACCAATATAATATTTTATTAAAAAATATGAACAAGAAATTAAAAGTATTTAATTAGAATGAATATTTGTATGATATTGAGGATTATGATAAAATGTTTCAGTATTAAAAAATATTCACACACTCCAAAATCAGTTACAGCACTTACCTCATTTGGTTAGGAAACATATTGTATATTCTGGATCGGTATGACAAGACAAATTGATTTAACCATCTATCAATGATTTATCTCTAGCCTGTTCACTTTTATAACCGACTATTTTGTTAACAGATCTAACCGAATAAAAGTTTCCATGGGCATTATTTGTGAGAATGTAATCTATTGAGTATATCAGGACCCGTTCAAAATAACTACAAATAGGAATTATATACAAGAACATTGTTTTTATTTTTATATAAAATTTGCTTTCTAAATACTATCAAACAAATCTTATCAAGCATCATAAGACAATGAAATATATTATTCATACGATGTTTTCTTTGTGGTTTCTAGTCTCAATAGTAACAATTTTATTTGATTTCCCTTTATTGTTATGAATAGAAGGCAATTTATATCCCAGTTATGGTTTTTATATAAAACAGTTTCATACTTTTAAAATTTTATCGAATAATCAATTTTCAACGCCAAATTCATGTAGCGCCCATAAAAAAATTTATAATAGAAACTAAGATTTCACTTACTGATTTTAAGGGTAAATCTAATGAAAATGAAAAGTATTTGGCATAGAATATCCACTAATTTTCCATTTGCTGCATTAACATATAAAATGTTATTCCATACCAAAACGCACCCATATATGCAATCTGATAACTAATCATTAATATCCGCTACCGCTGGCATTCATCAAGGGTATAGGCGATTTTGTGTTGATTACCGGAAATTTCGCTTTCATAAGGAAGAAACAACGAGTACCTGTGCTTTGTGCTGCCAATGTGAAATTTGAATTTCCACTTTTGCTTTTATTTAACCAATATTCCTTCTCAATTTTCCAACTATATTTCCACTTTTACTTTTGTGCTCCTTTGATAAAAGCCACATGAAAGGCGTGTCTGGCTCGTTTCCTCTTCCCAAACAATTTCGATTTCATGTATGAATTTTGTAAAGGAATGTGGTTTCACAAATCAAAACCACAAACAACGCTGATCTAATAAATCCTCTGCACCTCGTTTGCGATAAAAACTGATTCGAGGAAAATGGAGTATGAGTACGATTTTCTTCTGCTGTTCGGTAGGGGCATGAGTGAGTGATTATATGGCTTAGCTGCCTATAGTGCAGTTTTGTTGAGGCTTCATTCACCGGAAATGGTTTCCTTTTATTCTTGAATCGTTGTTTTTTGTTTTTTTCATTTTTTGCACTCATGTACGCATAAATTGATTTGTTTTAACAATTTTAGTTCGATTTATTTACATTGTCGAGGCCATTCGCGTTATTTCGTCGATTTTCACTTTCAATTCCTTTTTTTTACATAATTTTTTTCACTTTTAGCAAATTTTTTTCTTTTGTGGTTTCCCTAATAACATAAGTCTCAGGTTACAATCAATATACATAAATTCGATTTTGTGGCAAAAAAGTAGAGTTTTTCATTCAATTCATGGAAAAGATATAAATTACAAAGTATATAGTATCAGGTTTGAAGTTAGAATATTTGGTATCAGTTCATTCTGGTTGTTAGAAAGAATAATTAGATTAAAAGGGATTAATGTGATAATCTGTTTTTCAAGAATTGGTAAGAACTTTCTTCCATAAAATATACTTGTATTTGTATTTTAGTGAAATAATAATGTAATTCTCGCTGTTCTTATTGTAAGTGGAACACACTGTACATATATCCTTGTATCACGTTATATGTTTACACATTAAAATAATGATTATAAATAGTAAAAACGATATTTTCAAATATTTAAGAGACTAGAGCATGTTAATTTCAGTCACTAAAACATTTTTAAGCACTTCTAAAAGCAAATACTTAAATAAGGCACTTGAACTTCATAAAACATTATTCTAAGTTTTTGCTTAAGTGAAGACTATAGATCAGATTAGCTTACACCAAGGATCTTGAAGAACCGCTAAAGTCTATTTTCCCATTACGTTACTGTAAAAAACTTATGATCTTAAAGAACGCTTTAAACTTTTAGTAAACCATAAAGTACTGTACGGAGGTCTTGGAGGGAGGTTAGTCAAAATACTAACTCTCTGGCATTAATAATCGTCGCAAATAATAACCATAACTTTAACCATAATAACCATCCCAAGACTGATAACCTGACCAAGATATAGTTGTGATGTTTTATATTGAATTTTGATAGACATGTACTTAATAGCATTAAATTATGAGTACTCAATATGAGTTGTGCATACTGGCATCCTAAAAATAGCAGTAGATCCATCCACCGAATAGAGATATAATTAACATTCTTTATTAGTGGTCATTGATCAAACATTTGAAATACAATAACCTAAGTGACTATTTGGGACATGCTTGAACCTCAAACAGTACCATAGCAGTTGATCAAAGTATTTAGAACAATCTATGGAAGTAATAAACGATTTGTACTTGTTCTTTTTAACTTCACAAAGGAGTCTATCAATAATTTGAGTTATTTCTTGTATTTTTCTTCCAATGCATGATGATAATAAGAAGAAAACCACTGAAAAATCTCAAACACGAATACAGTGAAGACCATTTCAATTACTGGGAGACTTAGAGTAAGCAGATGATATTTGTATTATGATAGGCGAGTTTTAGGCTATTTAAAGTAATACGAATCATCAAAATTTATAAATCCAGTAATAAAAGGTAGGACATATAATGGAATACCTATAGTATTCATCATATCTAGCCATATATGATTGTTTCTAACTATCTTAAATGAAACTGTTAGGCTATTTATTTATAAATCCAGTAATAAAAGGTAGTACATATAATGGAATACCTACAGTATTTGTCAGATCTAGCCATATATAAAATTTATAAATCCAGTAATAAAAGGTAGGACATATAATAGAATACCTATAGTATTCATTAGATCTAGCCATATATGATTGTTTCTAACTATCTTAAATGAAAATTGTTACTTCTTGATACCTGATTTGAATGAATTCGAATCTTAAAATATATTCGTAGTAGAACCTGTACTAGAGACCGTCTTTAAAAAAGTTTTCGATGAAAACGTTTGTATACTATATATGTATTGCAGAAATTTATGGGCCAGATAAGAAATATATATTATATAATTTATATATGTATGGCAGCAATTTGTGGGCCAGATGAGACATATATATTGTATAAATTTATTTTATTTAGCAAATTCAATAATTTAAAAAAAATATGTACAATGCAACTAAACTAATTTTAAAAAAAATTTCATTTTTTTTTTGATATAGAAGCAAGTCTCAATCTTATATCATAAACTTTATTAAACCTATCGTACCTTTTACCCTAACTGCTGAATAATCAAATGCTGTAGTGATATAAAAACTGAACTGAAGTGGCGCTCAAAATATGCTTAAGAATCAAATCATCCATGTAAGTACAGATATAAGAAAAAAAAAATGTACAATAATAAAGGAGACAAAACTAAAAGCGGAAATAAAATCAAACTAAAATAATAAAAAGTATCACGATACACGCAACTGAGCAATAGAGCAGCAAAAAAGGATATTTAGAACGTATTTAGCACGGAATTGACAGCGTTTAGTGTCGCCGCGTAAGTGTCACATCATAAAAAAAGGAAATGCAATCAAGTGCAGACAGAGGACGACTCCAAAATTAGGCAGCCGCACAATAGCATAAAAAAGGACTAAAGTCGCTAGGGCAACTTGAGTTTTACTGCTACTTATCAAATGCGCTGTTCATTCAGTAATAAAAATTCGCTTACACTTGCACTAAAATAGTCAACAAAATCAAAAAAAAAAAAAACAAAAAAAAACCAAAGCAGTCCTTTCAACATAGCCGGCAATCTGTGCATTACTTCAGTAGGCTTGCCTATGTTTGCAGGACATATGTGACCATCAAATCAAAATGAAATTTGGTTGTCATTTCTGCTGGCTTGTGGGGTTGAGCATTATCAATGCCTAAAAATATACGCATATACCAATTGGCATTGGTTAACATAATTTTGATCCTTTGCAAGACATTAGTATTTGCGGCAAGTTTTGTTTTATTTCTTGTTGATATCTTCATTTATTCCTTCGCATATCCTCTCAATATACAATATATAAAATTACACAAATATAGCATATAGTATATCCAGGCATCGTTGGTAAGTGTACATATATGTCCTCTATTTTATTTCTAAAGTAAATCATTGCAACTTGCAAGGTTGCTTGGTATTGTCATGTGTTTTTTATGTTGCGTTTATGTCACAAGGATTTCATGCTCGCATAAATGATGCGTGATCCTTTGCAAGTGTCATTCAAGCGTTTTGCGTTTGCCTATGTCCTACGAGTCTTTGAGTTATTTTTCTTTATTGTTATTTTAGGTTTTTATGCTTCATTTGTTGTTGGATATCTTTATTCGAAATTAAGTTTTGGTTTTAGTTTTGGTATGCCGAATTTTATTGTAGCATATCCTGTATTTAAAGCATATTTAAGTGAGATTTGTTGCTTTGGCCGTTTTATAGTTCCGTTAAATGCAATTGTCATAAAAAAAGTGAACAATATATTAACAAACTCAATTTTGTTGTTATTTTGCATTAATGTCTGTCTTCGTCTTCGACACACCCATGGGAAGTGTATATAAAATGCGCAATTAAATTTGCTCCTTAGCTACTTAACTCTAATTGAGTTTTAACAGCAGATTTCAAATCAAATGGGTTTTTGTTAAGTGTCTTGTTATTTCTACAATAATAGTATATAATAGGCGGCACTATCATCTGACATGGTCATGCCAGCTGGTAAGAAACCAAAACAAAACACCTCGATTCAGGGATCGAGTAAACCCTCTTTCAGCCAAGTAGCCAGTCAGGCCAAGGGGATCAAATTAGGATTTGTTCCTTTTGATTTGGCTAAGTGCCCCCTAAACAGGGAACAGACTGCACAGCTACAGGAGGCTATAATTGAGACTGCCATAGAGTTGGCGTCTGACGAGGTTAAACCAGAATTTGAAGGTTGTTTCCCTCGTACGGGATGGCTCATGATGGTGTGCACAAATAACCAAACGGCTGAATGGGTCCGTAAAAATGCGGCAGCTATTGCAACAAAGGCTAAACTGGGCGCCAAAGTGGTTGAAGAGTCGGAGTTTCCAAAAACACATCTGGTGCGAGGATACTTCCCACACAGTTGCGATTTTGAAAATACCAAGGTTCTTGCCACAATTGAGGCCCAGAACAGGATTAAAGCAAGCACCTGGAAGGTATTACAGCGGACCGCAGAAGGTTCACTGCTCCACATCGTCTTTGCTGTCGACGATGCATCCTGGAACTCACTGGTCCAGAGTGGAGGTAGAATTGCATATCGCTTCAGCCATGTCAAGCTACTGCTTAAAACTAACAGTATGACAAAGGAGGGGCAGCCAGAACAACGGCCTGTGGAACAAAAGGTTCCAAATAAACTCCAGATCACAAGGACGGAGAAACAGAAAGTGGAGCACGTGGTTCCACAATCAACACTTACGTCTATTGTGAATCCAAATGAGGCCCCAACTACTAGTAGAGCCGCCATTCAAAAAAGGCTTTGGATGCGGCCACCTGTGGGTGGAGCATCAACAACTCCAAAAGAGCGCCAGAAGGAAAAAGGGCCACGGAGAGCTCGACTTCAAAAGGAAGTCGAACGCTCTCTCAATAAAACTCAACAAAAATGAGCACCATAGGGGTGTTACAGGCGAACCTGCACCACGCGAAAGGAGCATCGGCTACCTTGTGCAGGACCTTCGCCACAAAAGGACTGGCCATAGCGCTTATCCAGGAGCCATGGACAGTCGGTGGGCATATAAAAGGCCTTCAACATCAATCAAGTAAGTTGATATATAAACGTGACATAGAGTCGCCTAGAACTGCTATACTAGTAAACAAAAATGTTAACTGTATTCCAATTCCAGATTTCATCCAGAGGGACTTGGTGTCGGCCATTTTTGAGATCCCGACGGAGTGCGGAACACGAGAGATCGTGATCGCATCGGCCTACTTTCCAGGCGATGCAGATGAAGCACCACCTGAAGCAGTCACAAACTTGGTAAGTTATTGCAAATCCAATAATTTACAATTTATAATTGGTTGCGACGCAAACGCGCACCATACCTTATGGGGTAGTACTAACATAAATAGAAGAGGGCAAATGCTTTTAGAATACTTTAGTAGTAATAACGTCAGCATATTGAACAATGGTTCTGAACCCACTTTTATTAATGCCATTAGAAGAGAGGTTCTTGACCTTACTCTTTCTAGTCAATTTATCTCCAATTATGTTGTTAATTGGAGGGTCTCAAAGGAGGTTTCTTTATCTGACCACCAACATATTCTTTTTGAACTGCCGGGTCACTTTTTACATAAAAATTTGCCAGCTGCACGTAAGTGTATCAACTGGGAAATCTTTAGACTATCCTTAGCTAGTAAGGAAGACCAATTACTGAATTCAATCAGTCATATTGATGAACTTGAATTAGCTGCAGATCAAATAAACTCTGTTATCTCTCAGGCGCATGAAGATGCATGTAAGGTTGAACCACGTACATCCAGACGGGATGTGCCATGGTGGAACAAAAGGCTCGAAGAAATGCGCAGGGAGGTTAGGAAGCTTTTTAATTTAGCAAAGCGATCAAGGGTGTGGGTAGACTATAAAACATCCTTGACTGCCTACAACAATGAGATTAGAAAATCTAAACGGAAATCATGGAAAACTTTCTGTGACAGTGTTGACAACACTCCGCAAATGGCTCGCCTTCATAAAGTGTTGAGAAAGTCTCTTTCAAATGACATTGGTCTATTGAAAAAGAATGATGGTCTCTACACAGCAAATGGCAGGGAAACTTTACAACATTTACTACATGTGCACTTTCCAGGATCGATCTTATGTGATGCATCCATAGATAGGCGCACGTTAAGTTATGAACAACCAGACAATCGTTTAATGTCGCTATCTGGTATCATTTTTGACATTGATAAAATCAGATGGGCAGTTAATTCTTTCAGTCCTTTCAAGTCACCAGGAAGTGATGGTATCTTCCCGGCACTTATACAAAACGGCATAGACGTTCTTATCAATCCTTTAAAGGTGCTTTTTAGGGCTAGCCTATGCTGGAAACATATACCTGAAGCTTGGAGAGAAGTGAAAGTGGTATTTATACCAAAAAATGGTAATAGACCAAGTGATGATGCTAAATCATATAGACCGATTAGTCTCTCATCCTTCCTCCTGAAAACTATGGAAAGACTCATAGATATCTATATTCGTACAGAACTGTCTAAAAGTCAACCTCTTCACAAAACTCAATTCGCTTATTCCAAAGGGAAATCTACCGAATTGGCCTTACATAACTTGGTCAGTAGAATTGAAAAGGCCCACAAAAACAAAGAAATTGCGCTTTGTGCATTTCTGGATATTGAAGGAGCTTTCGACAATACGAGTTATGGCTCGATCTCGAATGCCTTAACTAACAGAAATGTTGATTTTAATGTTATTTCCTGGATTGAGGCGATGCTTCAAAGCAGAAAAATTACATCAACCTTAGGTAGAACGTCTGTAGCTGTTGAGGCCGCAAAAGGTTGCCCACAGGGTGGAGTACTGTCTCCTTTGCTCTGGTCAGTGGTTGTTGATGAACTTTTAATCTTGTTGGAGAATATTGGTTGTGACGCCATTTGGTATGCAGACGATCTAGTTATAATAGTATCTGGAAAGCATGGTAGCAGTCTATCAGAGATCTTGGTAGGGCACCTTCGACGCATTTTAGCGTGGTGCGAAAGTGAGGGTCTCTCCATAAATCCGGAGAAAACTGTTGTTGTGCCTTTCACACTCAAACGTAAACTAGACATAGGTCCCGTACGTTTAGGAAACACTAATATTTCTCTTTCCAGTGAAACAAAGTACCTAGGTGTTGTCCTAGATGGTAAACTCACTTGGAGTTCACACTTAAATAAAGTATACAACAAAGCATTAACGGCTTTATGGACAATACGGTCCTGTATAGGTAAAACTTGGGGCCTAAACCCAAAGATTATATTTTGGATATATCAGGCAGTAGTACGTCCTATCATGACATATGGTTGCCTGGTTTGGTGGCAAAAGGTCACACAGGCTGGATCTATTGCTGTTTGCATGAAGCTCCAGAGATTAGCGTGTCTCTTAATGACTGGTGCTATGAGGACAAGTCCAACTGCAGCACTTGAGGCTATACTTGGATTGACACCTCTGCACATACACATTCAATCTACGGCTGCGCTTAGTGCGCTTCGACTAAAACTCCACATGAACAAGAGTTGTCTTGACTATGGTCATACAACAATATTAAAAATATTTGGAGCACATAAAATTCCTCAATGCGATGGAGACTATACAACAGAACTCCATCGTTTTGGCAAAAAATTTGAGGTACACCTACCATCACGTTCAACGTGGGAGAATGGAGGCCCACAGGTTGACCCAAAAAGTTTGGTTTGGTACACAGATGGATCAAAGATGGATGAAGGCACTGGCGCTGGTGTATTTGGACCCAACACCAGCATTTCGGAAGCAATGGGCACATGGCCGAGTGTCTTCCAAGCTGAAATCCACGCAATCAACTTATGCGTAAGATCCAATTTAATCAAAAAACCTTCTGGCTCGAAAATTGTTATTTACTCTGACAGCCAGGCTGCTCTTAAAGCTCTTTCTTCTTGGACTTTCAAATCAAAACAGGTCCTTGAGTGTTACGATCTTCTGCAATCACTTGCAGCTCGGAATAAGGTAAACCTTTACTGGGTTCCGGGCCACAGAGGAGTTTTGGGAAATGAAAAAGCTGATGAGCTTGCCAGAACTGCATCAAAAACTGCTTTTATAGGCCCTCAACCCTTTTGTGGAATAAACTGGGCTAGTACAAAACAGATTATCAAGGAAATGGAAAATCATATGCGGCTAGAGTACTGGGTAAACTTTCCAGGACTCAGGCAAAGCAAAGCACTGATAACACCTTACTCCTACAAAAACATTCTGAAATTCTCAAAATGTAATTTAAGGATGATAACGGGTTTCATTACAGGTCATTATGGTCTGAAATATCACCTTCATAAACTACAATTATCTGCTAACTCGGAATGCAGATTATGCCTCGAAGATGAGGAAACAACCATGCACATTCTTTGTGACTGTCCAGCTTTAATAACGCACAGAAGAAACCTGTTTCATAAGGAATTTCTGTCACCAGAACAGATTAAGAACTCTTCTCTAGATTTAGTTCTAGACTTTATTCACAAAGCTTTAAGGGGCTTTGTTTAATCAATAGTGAAACTGGTACAATAGGTCTCTTCTGGCCGCAGTACCGGCTGTTGGGCAATTTTCACGAATACTCTTTATTATTATTATTATCATCTGAATGGGATAGGGCTGTCATAGAAGATTGACTGTTGTCTCTATATGAAAGCAGTGGACATTACCGGTCACATTTTTTGCAACTCTCCGGCTTTGAATTGACCAGGAGGAGCATAATGGAATGAAAACTACTGTTCCCTGATAGTAGAAAAAGTCTATGATAGTCTATGAAAGATTCATAGACTAACACCCGAAGATTTAATTGATCTTTATTCGGTTGCAAATACAAAACATCAACTATAATTGCGGTGTTTAAAGATCACAGAACCCTGTTGTAATCTGATTCTACTTCTACAACTAAATTTTGAACCAAGCAGTTCCACTTTTGATAACACTTATTATTTAGTGTATGTGGATATATATATATATATTTGAATATAGACAATAATATATACGAATAATATATACAAATATATATGAAGATTTTAAGTTTTTTAGAAATACTTTGATAAATTTTAGAGCTTTTATACGAGAACTTGAACCTGGAGCATTAACAACTGTGAATACTAGATCTATATATCTATCTAATTATAGCTAATCATCTAACTATATCTTTACATCATTATATCAAATTATCGAACTATGTATACATTTTACAAATTTATCCAATTTGGCGTTAAAACAGTAGATATAGTAATTAATATCAACATTTGGCATAAGCCTTCTCAAAAACAAGAGTTGTCAAATTTTACGAAATAGACTATATATTTTTTTAAGAAAGGATATGTACGGTATATAATATTGTAGCTCACTTCAACTTAAGAGTTTATGATATTGGCAACCTTAGCTGGGTTTGATTAAGTTAGTGCATTTTACCATAGTTATAAGGATGAAACACATCATATTTATGTGCTGCTTTATTGATCTATGATAAAATTCATGAATGTGAATAATAGGAAGGATAAATAATTTATAGAGCATTTATTTTTTGATTTGAGACATTAATTTCTTATTGTCCTGTAACCTAAATTAACTTTGTTTTATGTGTATCTGAAGAATCGATATGAAAATCTATAGTAAACTATTAATTAATATGTGACAAAAAAGTGATCAGAGTTTCTAGATTTCACGATGGAAATGAATAATTATATAAAATTTGTGATAATATTAAAATAGTACATTACGATTAATATAATGAATTTTAAAGTAATGTATTTTAATTTTAATAACATTGAAGTTAAATGCATTATCTATAAAATTCTAAATAATTTCTTTTCCTAAATCCTCAACTTAAAGTTCTGTCTCTTCTTACTTGTCCAGTTAAATTATATTTTTTTAACCTAGTAGTATTAACAGTTCTAAAAGGCATATCAATTATTCTCACAAATGCTTACATATAAGAATCGATGTATAGTGGTAAAAGCAAATACTTTTTTGTAATACTATACATATATCATTGTAGAGTAGAAAATCATAAAAAATGTATTATATATCACAGATTTTATGGTTAATCTACTTCATTCAATTATTTCAGGTGTTCTGAATGTATCTCTTTTCCTGTATATTAAACTACTTTTACCCAAAAAGAGCATTCATTTCATACTCGTATATCCTCTCTTAAAAACTATAAATAAATTAAATTGCAATCTTGATTAAATTTCCGTACAATAATTCTAGAACTCAATAAAAAATTTGACATTTTGGCTTTACTTTGTACAGACAATAAGATCTCAGTCTAGTACATCTCAAATAATAAAAATAATAGAGCAAGTAGCAAAGTATCAAATGACCTTGCGTTATCAAATGCAGATACAAGACTTTTATCACAACTGCACAGATAGGCACTGATATGCACTGCTAGAGATTGTAGACAAAATATTTGCTTTGGCACTTCTTATAAGTGCATAAACCACATTAAATTCCCACACAATATTTTTATAGTCCTTAAAATCATAAGAAACGGAAATGCTGATATGTAGATAAGAAAAACAAATCACCATCACATACATGAGATTAAATACTTTTTTATGAGCTACCATTTCGGGTGCTCTCCAAGTATCCTGATTGTCAAATGATCCTTTTGGTTGACATTTGCAA